AGCCTCCCTGAACTTTAAACACTTGTTCCTGGATGGCATAAAAAAAAAGGCGTTTTGGAGGAGCCTGGCCAGGGAGCTGATAAATGTCAGAGGTTGATGGCTGGACCGCGGGCCGAGCAGCAGGGGGTCTGCAGACGCGGAGCAGAGAAAATGGCATTCTGTTGTGGAGACACTCAGCCAAAGTGACAGCTACCACAGCGAGCATCATGAGCTAATGCCAGGCTGCCTGATGCACCTAAAGAGCACCTTTCAGTCACATCTGCCACATCAGAGTTTGAGGGGCCGTGTCACAGTTGAAGAGCGGTGGCAACTCACCAGATGGAAAGTATTTCTTCTCGCTTTGGGAATGTCATCTGTGTGATTGTGAACGTCAGTGCGGCTATTTTAAGGCTGACGTGTTCAGAAAAGAACTCATCACCTCCACGCTGTGATAGATGAGCGAGGAGCAGAGACTGTACCGGTGTCAAGAGGAACCTGACAAATGTCTGGCAGCGAGGAAAATCAGCCGCCTCAAGCAACTTTATGGAACATTATCTGCCAAGGACAGTTTGTTTTTGTACTGAGATGATGATGTATAGCATTCCTTTAACACGTTTTTCTTTAGTTTCCATGAAGGGCAGGAGCTGATTCTGCTTGGACACAATAAACATTTAGCATCTTTAAGCATGAAGAAAAGTGACATCAGACACTCATTAATCATGATTTAACACTGCTTTCACTTATGTAATGTATATGATACACTACGTCCCTGTTAACAGTCATAAAACATGGCGCTATATTTCTTGTAGATGTCATTGAAAGTGGCATTGGATTCCATTTGTATACATCAAGAAACCTTTCAGGGCTTTTATTAATGGAAAGTTTGTGTTAAGAGTTTGTCTGGACAAAAGCCAGTACACATGTAACGCACTGTGCAGAAATGATTTGTCAATCATAAAATGTTCATGAACATCTCAAAGGCCTCATGGTAACTTACCGAACAAGAAGAAGAAGAAAAGAGCATTAGTGAATGTTTCTGCAGTCAAAATATAAATGTTCATCCAGCCGTTAGTCTGTTAGCTCTGTTCTGACCGATACCTGAACTGTTAAAAAACGTCCCATACGGTTCTATTGCAATGAAGGCGTTGTCTGAATCCTTTAGCCCAGACTTTAGATCAGATTGTTTTATTGGTTTTATTGCTTCTAAAGATTATCTTGGCAGATTTTCCAGTGGTTGGAGGAGCGTTAAGAGGAGTGATCCCATCTGCTTGCACCGTTTTTATTAATGCTCCAATATTTGTGTGAGGGTAAACCACCCAGAGGACAGAGGACACTATATACCCCTCCCGGGTTTGAGCAGTGCTTCTGGTTCTGGTTCAGACCAAAGAATGGAAGTTGGTCTGATTACTGCAGAGGTGAAAGTTCACTTCCAGAGTCCTGCTGAGTGCTGTGTGTACTGTGCATTAGAAGATGTTCATTGACACCCAGCAGCTCATTACATTTTCACAATAAGGGAAAAAATGCAAAAGCTCCAGAGAGACAATATCCTGCCCAATGGCTTGAAACACTGAAAGTCTGAAGTTGTAGCTCGACTTGAGAGATTAAATATGAGTTTAAACTTTAGTGAAAAGGAGGCTGACGCAGGGAGCTCTGTGTGACTGAGCACTGAATAATAGGTTCCAAAATAAAAGCACATTAGGAGGGGGAAACCTTCTATTTGGCATCTGAAAGAACAATCTGTGCTCTGAAGTATTCACTCGAGAACACAGCACTGATGGGTTTTATAATAAACTGTAAAAAATGTGTTTTTGACAAGGGATCTCGGCAGGTATAGGACCCTGTCTCAGATCCCGCTGCCTCCCTCCATAATGTTCATTTCTAATTTGTTCTTATGTGTGTCGGACTCCCATAGAGCTGCCACTTAAATGTTTCCTGGAGTGCAAAAAATTCCCTCTATGTGTTTGACAAAACAGAGAAACGCTGTCCTCGCAGAGACTAAGTGCTCCTTCTGAGTATTTATGCACTTGCCTTTTAAAAATCCAGAGAAGTTACACGGCAGGAAATGAGGTTCTGCACTAGATGGGTGCTGTAATGGTCGACATAAAGGTGAGTTAACAGCGTGAAATGTTTTACAGCCAGTTGAAGTGAATCTCACACAGCTCATGGCTTTGTGAGGACTCTTACATTTTACAGCGTATGTAGAAAGGTCTGCCGTGGATGTAGCGAATAATATGAAGCAAGGTGAATTCTGTCCAAAATGGATCGCTTCCAGCTTCAGAGAAGGAAACGAGCCAGGATGTGAACACCGTTGACATGAGCCGTGTAGGCGCAGTGTGCCGGGGAGGGGGCAGCCGAGTGTCCTGGAGCCCCTCTGGCAGTATTCAGAGTTTGTCTCGGTGACCTGAAGCTACCCTGCTGACAAAAAGGATGCTTCCTCATTTCAATGCTAATGTTCTGTTCTGGGTGTTTTCAAAGCCTTGCTGCTATTTATTATGAATCAGTTTACCTGAGAGGCGCCGGTTAATCCTGTCGATCCCTGCACAGCTGCTGCGCGCCAAGAGGTCATGGAGATAGTGTTTAAATAGACTCCCTTATTATTCACAGGGGACGAATACAGGCCTGTACACAGCGCTGCAGGATTCACCATGTTCACCTGTTTTCCTCCATAAGAGGAATCAACAGAGGATTATCGACGGCGCTGTTTTCACACAACAAGACGTCTTGTGATTGATTCGTCATTGCTTCAAGTACTTTCATGAACTCTGCAGAGATGGAAAGGTCAAATACTTTGTGACTTTAGGGACAGTCGACATCTGTATCGACTTTACTGAAGTATCTCTTAAAGTTTGAAACACACAAATGCATTTTCTACTTTTTACTTGTTATACAGGCGTGTTACTTTAGCTGTAATGGATTGTATGTAAGTCATTGATTATTGAGTCCATCAATGGGACAGATCTCAACCTACAGGAAAGGGACGCTAACAAATAGAAGAAAACCGCTCATTGGTATAACCTTTCACCTTTTGGTGTCCAAACTTTGTTTCTTGCGGTCTAAAATAGTCGTGTTAGAATCGCTCGCGGGCCACAGGTTTTGTTTTTTAAAATATAGTTTTAAAAATAGTAAAGCTTTGTAGATCAGAATCAAAAGGCTCGCTAAAGAAACCCTTTAATAAAAGAAATCAAATATTTAGATTTCTTTGTTCTACTTTATTTGTTTTCTTCTCAGATCCTGTAACGTGGTTCATGTTTTTAGAAAAGCTTTCTGCATTTAGCTCAGGTCATTAAATGGTTAAACAACAGTCTGCTTGTTTGAAAAAACTGTGTATATGTTTTTTTTTCATAGTTTACAAAAAAATGTGGAAAATAGTAAAAGCTGTAGATTTAAAAAACAACAAGATACACGTTACTGAACATTTTCTATTTTAGGAATATTGTTCAGCGCTTGTTAAAATGAAAAAGAAGAAGAAGATAATGTGCCGATCTTAATCAAAATCTTCTGATTCTTCATTTGAAGTCACGGGCCGCAAAAAAATCTCCTCAAGGGCCGCAAATGGCCCTCGGGCCGCACTTTGGACGCCCCTGCCTTACATGTATATCAAGCATGACAGAGATAGATCCCATGACACAAAACTGACTAGAGAGGGAAACTCAATGTGCAGAGAAGAGTTGGCTAGCTTTTTATTTTTGTAAGATGTTTTTTGACCTTGTTGAAAGGAGAGAGTGGAGGACGACCTGCAGCAAAGGGCGAAGGTCGGATTCAGACCCGTGGCCGCTGGACCTATAGCCTGAATGTGGGTACATTTCAGAGCTTGTGCTTTTTCACTCATCAGTAGATTTGACTTTGGAATCTAAACATTTAGAATTAAAGCATCGACTCTTCTACTCAAGAGAAAAGTTGTAATTGTGTCATCTCCGCTCTGCAGCTCGTAGAAACCAATCATGACCTGAAGGCTTCCATATGAAGCTATCACAAACAGTGACACTGTCTGAGCAGGTTTCTGAATAGACGGCTCAATAAAATGTATCTGGAATATGGACACAGCATAATGGACGAAGAAAAACAATCTCAAAGGGCCTCCAGCTGTTTACTTTAATAGATATTGGAAAATGTATGTAGCTGTAAACATGTCAACAACAGTCAGGAGAGAATAGTGAAATATGTGTTTTTAAACATCCCGGGGGCAAAATATCAGAACAGTTTACCAAACGTGTCATCATGCAGCACAAACGTCCACTGAAGATGTTACACAAGCGAGGAATGTTCAGCAACACGGTGCACACATCTGCATCGCTGTAACCTGTGAACCATCTCATCTTTATTCTGCACCTGACTGTTGTGTGTTTGCAGCGGTGAAAATCCTCACTTTAACAGACCGAGAAGGAGAAATAACAAATAATATTTGTGACTCTTTCTGCAGGAAGATAAAGACAAAGTCTAACAGAAAGTCAAATGCAGCATAAAATATTAATGTCATGTCAATCCTCGACTAACACAGGTTTTCATATTCCTCAACAAGTGCTTCTCATTCCACAGGGATGCACACCGCTCCAAAAATAGACTTGGCAGTGAGTCAAACTTATGAAATATTGCTTCTCTGAAGACACCCATAAACATCTGTGAGCCGACGCAGAGAAGGGTGTTATGGGTAATTAAGCAGCCACCTATCAAAAAAACAGTCATCACTGAACTGAAGGATCTGCAACTTTCCAAAAAAGAGAGTAAGAAGTGGACGCTTCACTCAAAGGTGAAGCCAGCGCAGAAGTCTCTCAAAGCTGCAGTCTTTGTAATGGCCAGCAGGGGGCGACGCCACTGGTTGCATCACAATGATGTCGCTTCTCATTTGCTTTATCACCTTAATAGATATTTTCTTAATCGTCTTCCTCGATTGGTTAACCTCAGGATGTGTGTCCGCCAAAGTTATTAACACAACCAACTGTGCAAGCTTCCCTCTTCCCCTCAGTATTGACATTCTTTATTTGCCTTTTCAGAGAATTATTGATTTGTATATCTGTCGACAGGTATGATGACAACCCGACCACAGCGCTTTCATCCGCTCGGCCGCTCTGCGTCTGAAAATGGCAGGAGGTGATGTTGAGGTGAAGGCTGCCTGTGAGAAACTGAGGCCGCCTCTGCGTTTCCATCTTTCATCCCAGACATGTGAAGACTTTCCCCCCTCCTACCTCCTCTCTTTGTTGACGTGCTTCAGTATGGGCTGCCGGGTCACGTTCACAGAGCTCAGTCAGCTTTAATCACAGTCTGCTTGTAGTGCTTCCAGAGGCCTTCGCTGTAGCTCTGCAAAGCAGGAGGAAGAAGAGGTGAGACGAATACCAACCGGGTTTGAAGTTCATGATTACGGGCGCTGACAACTGATCCTGGATCCTGTACAGATAAACCCACTGAGGAAAGATCAAAGCTGTGTTCTCAGGAGCATAAATATTTCTTTCCTGTTAAACCAAAACTTTGAGCTTTTGTTTCATAATTGCAGGCTGTATCTCTTCTCCACCACCAGATGGCACTGTGCCGTGACTTGGCAAATAGGACACATGTTCTTCAAGTCAGTGTTGCCTGTTTGAACAATTCAAAAGTAATTGGGAGATAACAGTTGGTCCTTGTTGGAGGATTTGGAGCTAATTAATTTGACGTGTTACCCCGACGAAACAAACCCAGTTAAATATTCTCTGAGGCTCTACCAATATTCATCTTATAGTTTGAAAGGTTAATTCACAAAGTGTATTAATCTTACATAACAGTAGCTGCTTTGCATTTTGTGGTGTGTGCTTGTTCATCTGCATTATACCTTGCACAGTCATTTCCTCACTGTGAAAATGACCTGATAGTATCTCCATATCTTTGTGTTTGTCTATTTTAAAAAAATGTTTCCCCCAGTAAACAGAGATTATTACTTATTTAAAAAAAAACACACTGACCTCAATGTGACTTTCTGCTCAAAAAGGATTAAATGACTATAAATAAAATACGTAATATGTGAAAAGGAAATTTAAAAGGTTAAAAAGAGAGGGGGAAACACAAAGAACCACTGACTTACTCCATTAAAAATATTGCAGTTTTGACCTTTCTCAAACGCTTTTACCCCACAGGGCATTCAAGAATTCAGGTTTGCTGCCCCATATATAAACAATATATTCATATAGGGTCAATGGAATCACCCTGGTGTCTTCTCCTTATAGTACACCTGAAGAAGGCGGCCATCGTCATCATGCCGCACGCCTCAGACTGTTTCTGTCAGCATCTTAGTGACACCACTTATCTGCTCTGCTGTCACTGTGCTGCTCTGCTCTCTGCTGCCATTGAATGAAGCAACACTGACATCTATTGGACGGATGGAAAAGTGTCCCAGGATTGGTTGAAGTCACGCTGGATGTCCCTGGAGTCGTTTAAAGGTAAATATTCAAAGGTTGTTTGAGTGAACATGATGTTTTTGTCATTAGTGTCATTATGGTAATACGAGTAAAAGATTTCAGACGGGGATTTCAATGTGTACTTGAGAATAATTATGTTTCTTTTTTATGTACTTTAACTTCCACACATTACAGATAGAGTTAATAATAAAAGTCAGGATGTGCTTGACATTTGTACCCAACATTTTAGATATATTGTTAATTATCTTAAGCCGTAGTAATACAAAGAAAACTTACTGTACATTAACTCTTGATTATAGTTTGTGTTATTTTGATCTTTCTTTAATTAATTTTAGCTTGTGTAAGCCTGTCTGTTTTTGTGTTCCTCAACATATTATATGACATGTTTATCTTTATCACTACAGTTGTATATTATTAATCAATGAGGCCCGTCGTATGTGACATAGTGAGCAGGTCTAAACGGTCATTTCTATGACTGCAGGTGAAGTTGTTTATATGAAATGTCAACGTACTGCTGATTTGTCTATGAGGGACAAAAAATGACTTAAGTATAAATAAATAAATGTTGGGAGAAATGCATTAAATAATGTATAAATAAATAATTAAATAAATGCATGAATAAATATTAAATACACTTTGTGAATGAAAAAGTCTATTTATATATTTTTACATGTATTTATTCATTTATTAGTGTATTTATACAGTTATATATGTATCAATGCATACATTTCCACATTAATTGAGTTATTAATTTCTTTCCGTATTTTTAAATTTACACATCTATTTATTTCTGTGTCCAGGTCGTAAGAGGAAAAGTATAAATGTAAATTTGCTTCTGTCTGTTGACCAATCCTCCTTCAGTAATGTTAGGATAAAATCCACTTAATTTACATATTTACTTTTGCTTGTACAACATGGACACAGAAATACATAAATATATGAATATATTTGTTTATATATTAATTTTTATATGAATTGTTGCATTTATTTATCTATATTTATTTATTGATGCATTTATTTAATTAGTTATTTATTTATACATTATTGTATGCATTTCTCCAAACATTTATTTATTTATTTATTTATACTTTAGTCATTTTTTGTCCCTCATATTTGTCCAGCAGGGGCGCTATATTTCACTGCGCCTCTCTGCTCCGCTGCTAAAACGCCGAGGGTAGAACCTCGCGCATGCGCACTGGTAATGTTGTCAGTCGGTGTTGTTTTGGGGAGAAGCAGCAGCTGTGTCGGTGAAGCTCACGCTTTACTTCCTGTTTTATCAAATGTAGAGAAAGTAGAAACAAGAGGAATCATTTGTAACTTAGTTTAAAAATGATTTTATTAGTTTGAAAGGGAAGATATTGATCCATCTTTTTGGATTATAGGTAAGTGAATTCATCTCTTTATTCACTGTAAAGTAATGTTACACCACCTGGGAGCACTTTATACAGGTAACACTGACCAGGTGAGCTCTACAGCTACGTCACTGTGACGTTCCAATCACAGAAACACAATTTACCTTTTTTTTTTAATTAAAAATTAATTGACTGTGTACAGATGTATATACTCACTGTGACATATACACTTATAAAAACAAAACAAAGCAAAAACACTCTGAAGTAAATAATGAAATGAGACCAACACACACATTAAAGGTTATTGATGTAAGACAAAAGGTGCAACACATTCAATCAGGTCGTACCTCTAAATTAGTGAAATAGGAAATAAAGGTTTGCTATTTGTGGAGAAATGTGACTGTACATCCTCTCAATGTGAATTTAATTTAATCAAGTTTAAAAAACCACGATGTCTTTGAGGTTGTCTTTAAATGTCTTGACCTGTGTCCAGGTGAGCTTCTCTGATGGAGGACCATGAAGGTGGTGATGGGGTCCAGGAGGAGCAGGCCATGCTGTGGTCCATCCAGGAGGCTTTTGAGAGGCAGACCCTTCAGATAGGAGCCTCAGCCTGCGGGGCCACGGCGGTGCTGGACGTGTTGAAGGCTCTCGGTGTGGATGTGACACCTGAGGAGGCGGACAGGTGCGTCCAGACTCGACTGAGGAGGAACGAGTCTCCGCTGCCAGACTACCTGCTGTCCCGCAGTGAAGCCGGTAAACGTCCCAAAATACAACCAAACAGAAGTTTGTGCTCCTAATTCTTAAAGGAAGGTGTGCAAATATGTCTTCTATACTTCTTAATGAGGTTTTGAATAAAAGAGATTTACCTGAAATAGAGTATTTTCAGAGTGTAGAGTTGCTGCTACACTTAATAAGCATTTATAATGTTTAGTAATAATTCAGAATCAGGATAGGTTTGCATTGCCAAGTCCATTCACACTACAAGGAATCTGACTAGTAGTTTGGTGCAAAACAATTAAAGAAAGAAACTGAGCAAACAAACAGCAGTGTAAAAATATATGATTGAATATAAAGAACACAACATGTGCAGGTACGTGCAATAAGAGAGAATAAGTTTCCACACAGTGTGCAGGGTAAACAGGAAACACTCACGTTAAATCTGATAAAAACACATCATGTCTGAAAGGTTGAATTAAAGTGACTGTGAATATTGATGATTTATTTTGAAGCTGTTTTAGGAATAATGTAACTGTGCTTTTGAACAGTGAAAGAAAGAAATGAAGTTTATTGATATGTACTATATATTACATTAAATCAAATCAACTTTATTTGTATAGCACATTTAAAAACAGCTTCATCTGACCAAAGTGCTTTACAGGCAAGCAAGAAATAAAAAATAAATCTATAGATATGCACATACATATATAAACACATAATACACACACACAAATATATATATATATGCACATACATGTATACATGTAGTATACATACATATGACATACACATACATACCTAAGCTCAATATATGGGGTCTGTTTCAACTTGTTTTAAATGTCAGTGAAAAGTGAACATTAACGTTAGTGCATGTTCTTGTTCAGAGTAAAACTTTGTTTCTTTAATGTATAACTTACATCTGTCCACTCAGGCGTCCCCTGTGCAGGAAAGTTACCGTGAGTCACAGTGGTATAAAAAGTATTCACGCTGCTTGAAAGCCTCTTTACACATTGGCAGTTAAGACATTATAAACACTTGGCGTGAGATCCAATCTACTTCCTCCCAAATGTTCTGTGACATTTCAGTTAATGGCATATAAGTACATAGAGGGTGACTTTGTATAGGTGGGTTTCTCTGCAGGCAGAAATAGATCACAGATGCCGGCAGAGACAATAACTTACCCGCTGATTGAGGCTTTGTTACATCTTGAACCCATAAGCGCGGTTTCCTGCCAGAGTGACAGCTGGCTGCACCGCCAACCAGTTGAAAAGCAGCCTCTTGAATTAGACAAAAGGTTTATGTCTCTCACAGGAGCCACTGTAATTGACTTTTCAGCTGTGTAACACAATTTCATACAATGACATTTCATTCATTTAAGTCAAGCTGTGTTCACACAGAAGGAGCGTCTGAGTGGAGAAGGAAGTAAACTTGTGATCATTTATCTTAGAATATTAAGTGTGACTTTGTTGAGTTGCAGTAAAGATTGTTTTTCTTTCCTTAAAGGTGCGACTCACGCTCAGCTCATCCGAGGAGCAGAGGAGGCGAGCGAGGGGAAAGTCACGGGTCGTTTCTTCCACCTTCACCCTCGCCGCCTGGTCAGCCTCTTCCCCTGGCTCGCTCGCTGGATCCGAAAAGGTGCCGTTCCCATAGCGACCATGAACATGCAGCGGGCCGTACCTGAGGGGGAGGAGGTGCCCGATGCCTGGCACCATCAGCTCATATTTGGCGCCACACCGAATGCTGTTTTCATGACCAATCCTTTTGATGTAGGTGAGTGACAGCTGAGGCAGGAGAAACATCCACGTCTCTTTTTATTGATGCGCTTCATTTGTCGTGTGATCTTTTTCATCAGTGAGCGAAGGAGAGCTGCACGAGAGACTCTGCAGTGAATCTGTGCTGCTGATTCGCCGAGAGGACGTCCTGCAGCGAATCACAGCTGACTGCTGCCTGTCCACTTTATCTGACCCGCAGTGGACGACTTTGGACGTAGAGGGTGAAGCCTTTATTCCTGCTTTCATTCATGCACATTTTACACACACACACACAGATTCTGAAGTATTTCCCCCCCTCATGTTTTCTGCCCTGTTAGGTCAAGTGAAGCAGATGATTCTGGAAGAGGAACAGGAAGAAGGTGGAGCCAAGTTAACACACATCACCACCCCTGCAGCGTACAGTTCAGGTGTCACATTTTTTGCTCTACAACAATCTGAGTTAGCACAAGAACTCCTCAATGCTCCCGAGCTCTCTTTGTTGTGACCGGACGTGAAGCTCAGGAAGATTTATTCAATGTGAAATAAGAAATAAAAGTCAAAGTAAGACTCTTTATGAATTCTTTTTATTAGCAGCTGCAGCCTGTCCTGGAAGAGATGCAGGCCAAAGGTCAAATGGGAACAAACTTTGAATACTCTGACGCTTTAAACACAACAGTTGTTGCAATTGAACTGTAATACTGTGATAAGTATGTTGTGTATGAAATGAGGTGTTTTAAAGATTTGTTTATTAGGAAAACATAAAACTTTACAAGCAAATCCACTGTCAACATGAACACAACAGACACAAAAACATATAAATAAATAATAATGATAAAAAAATAAAATGAATAAGCAGAGAAAATGTAGATGTGTATACTTAAATAGATTCAGCATGTGTACTTCCAATACATCCCTATATCAATTAGGCAATTCTATATAGTCATAATATAAGTATATTCCAACTGTACTAATAATAATACAGCATCAGTAATTGTTGTAACAATAATTACAATAACAGTTTGTATGCAAAGTAATGATTGAGAAAGAAATAAGAGAAAGAACACACATCCAGTGTCTATTCACTTGTAATATGTCTAATTGTAAAAATTGCTATTATTGTTTTAATTAATAACAATAACAAACATAAACAAAAAAAACTGAAACAAATCTCCCCCCCGTCCTCCCATATCTCACCCGATCTCACCCTTCTCAGCATGGCTCTCTATTTTCTTTAATTTGTCTACATGTATTCACGTCTGGCTTAATCTGGGTGATTAACTTTGAGTTGGTCCAGGAAGAGTTTCACTTTTATGGCCATCCTGCTCTAAAGAAGGCAAAATGTTGAGAAAGGGACCCCAGATTTTATTAAAGGTTTCCTCCTTACAGTATAGAATATTTTTTCAGGAGTGCAGTAGGACAGCAGTTCATTTATCCAGTGTCTCGTTGACGGTGGTTCATGAAACGAGGTGTTTACTAGAAAGAAAAACAGAAAAAAGCAGCAGATATTGATGCAGCTCGTCCACACACTGTCATCCATGAACATTTTAATCACTTACACTTGTTGTTTATGTTTTAAAAACTGTTATTTGACAGATGATTATTTAAAAAGTGAGTTTGAAATAATGAAATAGCACTTTGACTTTCTTTCTATCCGTACATTTCTGCAGAATCTCCCCTGCTCTGCTCCTCGCTGCTTCCAGACTGTTAACTTCATTTTAAAGGATCAGATCCCACCCGTCTGCATCCGTCCCATTTACACACTCTGCCAGTTAACTTTAGGACTGACTTTCAAAATGTATTGATTTCTTTCAAAGCTCCAGTCTGAATTTCAGAGCTGTTATCTTGTATTAGTCCAAAGCTTTTATCAGTGCTCTGAACTGCTCTGATTGCTTGTAAGGCAGCAGTCAGCACTTAAGGTGGTCGAGTAGCAGTACGCAGAGGCTCTTTGAAAAATAGCATATTTCCTTAAGAACCCATTGAACTTTTCCACACTCCAAGTCAGTTCAATAAGTTGTTAGACTTTCTTTTATTCCAATGTTTTGTAGGTTGTAAATCAATGTATTCGTGGTCTGTGTAAGATACAGTATTCAAAATAAAATTGAAGGGTTACATGGAGACCCTGAACAAACTGTGAAGAGGATGGATGGATTATATGGAGGGGTGAATGTTGATACTATACTACATGTCAGATTGGAAATGTTGCTGGAGAAATGTAAATTGGTACAATTACTGAATTGTCCATGATAAAAAAAATATAGGTAGATACTTTGAATATTTAATATTTTCCTTATTATATTTGTGTAATGAAGTAATATTTTCATTGCTGGACTTTTTTGTAGTCATGGATTATTCAGACAGTGATGTTAATTCAGTAAGCAAATCAAGATGATGACAAATTGTGTTTTAATAATAAACATATTTTAATGACCATTAGAACAAAAGTGAATAGGTAAATATTACCTCGTGATACAGATCGAAGAGGACACGGACCTAGAATCGCGTGTTGACTACATTTCCCATGATGCTCTCGGCAGTTCCACCCCGCGGAAGTTAAAACATCCAAAAAGTTACTGAAAACCAACTCGGGCTGCAAAAACAGGGTAAGAAATGTGAATGTAGATTTACCAAACAGCAGAACTGAAACACACAGAACTTTGTTAAACGTCGTGGAGCACTTTTGGTTCACGTTGTGTGGGTTTAGTTTGTGTTTAACGTGTTTAAGAGCATCACGGGGATATATTGGATACACGTGGTGTGTGAGTGTGTGTGTAATGTGTGTGTGTGTGTGTGTGTAATGTGTGTGTGTGTCCATCCTCTGAGATAACAGACTGTGCATCCTCCGGTCACTCAGCAGGCTGATAGCAGAGGAGACACTTTAGACTGCTGTCCTGAACTGACTGGGCTCCGGCTAATTCCTGCTTCACACACACACACAGACTCACAGGTGAGTGTTTGTACCTGTATGTGCTAATGCTGCTAAAACAAACAGCTGGAGAGGAAACTGTGTTTTAAAGCAGAACACTAAGAAGTGAACTGGAATATGTTGACAGTAAAGTTTGTTGTATTTGTGGAATTCATGATGTGAGAGTGGAGCTCCATCCATCTTCAGTGTTTCATATCAGTGCTGTTTCACTTCATGATGTGAGAGTGGAAACAGCTCCATCCATCTTCAGTGTTTCATATCAGTGCTGTTTCACTTCATGATGTGAGAGTGGAAACAGCTCCATCCACCTTCAGTGTTTCATATCAGTGCTGTTTCACTTCATGATGTGAGAGTGGAAACAGCTCCATCCATCTTCAGTGTTTCATATCAGTGCTGTTTCACTTCATGATGTGAGAGTGGAAACAGCTCCATCCATCTTCAGTGTTTCATATCAGTGCTGTTTCACTTCATGATGTGAGAGTGGAAACAGCTCCATCCATCTTCAGTGTTTCATATCAGTGCTGTTTCACTTCATGATGAGTGATTGGATGTTTTCCTGTTTCTGCTGCAGTAAAGTTTGATTTAAGGTTTGCATGTCTCCTCTGATTTGAGTGAAATAGTGTAAAGGAAGCAGACAGTGGAGGAGAAGTTGGTGCTTGATTTTGCTGAAGGAAAGTCGTGCTGTGTTTGATTTTGTCCCCTGACATGTGAGTCTTGTGATTCCAATCAAAGACAGTGATTTGTGTAATTATGAGACATGTGGACCCACTGAGCAACACTGAGCAACACTCAGGCCTTTGTACTGGCTCTCTACACACACACACACACACACACACACACACACACACACACACACACCTCCACTCTCTGTCTGCACACACACACACACATCTCCACTCTCTGTCTGCACACACACACATCTCCACTCTCTGTCTGCACACACACACACACACACATCTCCACTCTCTGTCTGCACACACACACATCTCCACTCTCTGTCTGCACACACACACACACACACACATCTCCACTCTCTGTCTGCACACACACACATCTCCACTCTCTGTCTGCACACACACACACACACACACATCTCCACTCTCTGTCTGCACACACACACACACACACACATCTCCACTCTCTGTCTGCACACACACACATCTCCACTCTCTGTCTGCACACACACACACACACACATCTCCACTCTCTGTCTGCACACACACACACACACACACACACACACACACACACACACATACACATCTCCACTCTCTGTCTGCACACACACACACACCTCACACTCTCTCTGCACCCTCACACACACACACACACACACACACACCTCTACTCTGTCTCTGCACACACACACACACACACACACATCTCCACTCTCTGTCTGCACACACACACACACACACACACACACACACCTCTACTCTGTCTCTGCACACACACACACACCTCCAACACACATTTCCACTTCCTTACTGAATATTGAGAGTTGAGGTTACTGCTCGTTGTCATAGTTTGGACTGTGAGAGTTGAGGTTACTGCTCGTTGTCATAGTTTGGACTCTGAGAGTTGAGGTTACTGCTCGTTGTCATAGTTTGGACTCTGAGAGTTGAGGTTACTGCTCGTTGTCATAGTTTGGACTGTGAGAGTTGAGGTTACTGCTCGTTGTCATAGTTTGGACTGTGAGAGTTGAGGTTACTGCACGTTGTCATAGTTTGGACTCTGAGAGTTGAGGTTACTGCTCGTTGTCATAGTTTGGACTCTGAGAGTTGAGGTTACTGCTCGTTGTCATAGTTTGGACTCTGAGAGTTGAGGTTACTGCTCGTTGTCATAGTTTGGACTCTGAGAGTTGAGGTTACTGCTCGTTGTCATAGTTTGGACTGTGAGAGTTGAGGTTACTGCTCGTTGTCATAGTTTGGACTGTGAGAGTTGAGGTTACTGCACGTTGTCATAGTTTGGACTGTGAGAGTTGAGGTTACTGCTCGTTGTCATAGTTTGGACTGTGAGAGTTGAGGTTACTGCTCGTTGTCATAGTTTGGACTCTGAGAGTTGAGGTTACTGCATGTTGTCATAGTTTGGACTCTGAGAGTTGAGGTTACTGCTCGTTGTCATAGTTTGGACTGTGAGAGTTGAGGTTACTGCTCGTTGTCATAGTTTGGACTGTGAGAGTTGAGGTTACTGCTCGTTGTCATAGTTTGGACTGTGAGAGTTGAGGTTACTGCTCGTTGTCATAGTTTGGACTCTGAGAGTTGAGGTTACTGCATGTTGTCATAGTTTGGACTCTGAGAGTTGAGGTTACTGCTCGTTGTCATAGTTTGGACTGTGAGAGTTGAGGTTACTGCTCGTTGTCATAGTTTGGACTCTGAGAGTTGAGGTTACTGCTCGTTGTCATAGTTTGGACTCTGAGAGTTGAGGTTACTGCATGTTGTCATAGTTTGGACTCTGAGAGTTGAGGTTACTGCATGTTGTCATAGTTTGGACTCTGAGAGTTGAGGTTACTGCTCGTTGTCATAGTTTGGACTGTGAGAGTTGAGGTTACTGCTCGTTGTCATAGTTTGGACTGTGAGAGTTGAGGTTACTGCTCGTTGTCATAGTTTGGACTCTGAGAGTTGAGGTTACTGCATGTTGTCATAGTTTGGACTCTGAGAGTTGAGGTTACTGCTCGTTGTCATAGTTTGGACTGTGAGAGTTGAGGTTACTGCTCGTTGTCATAGTTTGGACTCTGAGAGTTGAGGTTACTGCTCGTTGTCATAGTTTGGACTCTGAGAGTTGAGGTTACTGCATGTTGTCATAGTTTGGACTCTGAGAGTTGAGGTTACTGCATGTTGTCATAGTTTGGACTCTGAGAGTTGAGGTTACTGCTCGTTGTCATAGTTTGGACTGTGAGAGTTGAGGTTACTGCTCGTTGTCATAGTTTGGACTGTGAGAGTTGAGGTTACTGCTCGTTGTCATAGTTTGGACTCTGAGAGTTGAGGTTACTGCATGTTGTCATAGTTTGGACTCTGAGAGTTGAGGTTACTGCTCGTTGTCATAGTTTGGACTCTGAGAGTTGAGGTTAGGTTGAGTTTATTTTTTTCTGCTTTAATGTAAAATTCAACACTTTGTTTTTGGTGTTTAAGGAAGTTAAAGAGAAGAAATCACATTTTCCATTGTTATTATATTGATTTAAATGTGCGTCAGAAGGGATGCTACCTTCTGCTCTGAATGATTCTACATGGTGTGTTGAGGTTTTACAATGCCTGCCATGTTGTCCTTAATAAGAACCGTTTCTCCTTTGGGTGCTGAATCCATTAATGTGTTAATCATTAAATCAGTGAGGTCATAGGAGGTCTCTGAGACGTGTGCATGTTGTAAGGAGGACAGACTTATTCTCTGGTTGGTGTCTGATCTGTGCTGGAGTTTTATTATTATCTTCACATGTCTCATATCTCTCAGTTAGCATATTAAAACCCTTTCACTTGATAACTATTAGATTGGTATTTTATTTGTTTTATTTATTTTTATTTTATTTTTTGCATTGTTAAGGAGAGCTTGGAACACAAACATGTCATTGCCAGCTATGACTGCTCTGCCTGTTGTGTTGTGTGTTTGACTAATAAAGAGAACTTGAACTTGATAAATTGTAAAGGTGCGATGAGTCGTAAGGAAAATATCATCTCCAAAGATTTTCATAATTAAGTGTGTTTGGTGATTTTTCAACAACTTTATAGATTAACTTATTGATGAAATTAAAGTCGTCTTAATGAATGAAAGAAATGCTAAACACATGTTTGTCAAATCTTTGCATTCAGTCAATAAAAAGAGGGACGGAGCTACCTAAGAAGGGCGAGGCGAGCAGTGGACTCTATATCAGCCTGATAATTGCTTTGTTGTTTTCTTTATGTAAATGAGTCTCTGTGTGCTGTAGCTGGTGATTTGGCCTCGCCTGGTGACCACGCCATTTAATTGTTGACTTGTGTCTCTGTTCTGCTTGATTGAACTGGAGTCAGTGTGGCTTAACAAGATAATATAAGACCCCAGGCCTGAGAGAAGGTCAACGCTCCCTCACAGCTTACAAGTCCTTTCCTTATAGGTCAGCCTCTGCATGCAATTACACGCTTTCTCTATGAAGGCTTTTCTCTGCTTTGGCGTCGGAGGCGGTGATTTGTTTTAATGCTACATGTCTGATATTCTCAGGTAAGATGGCGGAGAAGGTGCTGGTGGTTGGAGGTGGTGGACGGGAACACGCGCTGGCCTGGAAGCTGGCCCAGTCGGAGCAGATTCAGCAGGTCCTGGTCGCCCCGGGCAACGCAGGGACGGCCGACTGTGGGAAGATCAGCAACTCTGGTAAATACGAAACAGCGAGGCGTTTAGTTTACTCCTCTGTGCTGAAACATTTCCAAA